TGGCCAAGGTGTTTATCCCATCAGTCTCGCTGCTGCTATGCTACACGGCCAGCCTGTCCACACCATTAGCCTTCGCTTAATAGTCTCGCGGTTCCCCTTAATAAAAGCTGTGTCATATTAAAAGCCACGGCGCCACCGTGCCGTTCTGCTGTATCGGCAGAAACCTGCGTGTGTTTGTTCGGGGGATCCCTGCGACCTGAGACAAGCAGAATCAAAGCTGTCAGACCTGAGTGCCCCCCCCAATAAAATTACCATCCTACCATTCACCCAAACACCTTTCTATAAATGTGCTGTGGCACTAAGATCAAAATAGGAAGAACATTCATGTGAGCAGCATTCAAAGACACATCATGATGGCGTTAATTAGCACCAAAAAACTAAAATGACGTTTACGAAAGTAAAATAAAAATATGACATTTGGATATTTGGATGTTTTTTTTTTTCTTTATACAAAGTCCCTGATTTGTTTTCCGTAAGTTTAACGTAAACTGCATTTTCTGTAAAGCATGTAAAATGAATGACAGGGTAAACAGGGCAATAACGTGACGTGCATTCCTGGGAGTGAAATGCTAGCACGTATAGCAGAGAGGTAAACGATACGTGGGCAAAGAGGCGGCCAGCTCATACGTTCCGGTCAGCAGTCTCAGCGTTTCTGCGCATTGCCTGCTGTACGCAGGGTGTGAGCGCATGCGTTGCTGCAATGCTGCTGACTCGAGCTACGGTGTTACAATTAATGCAATACGGTGCAGAATGCTGTACCAATAGGTGTAAAATTGGTATGATTACAGAAGCTCATTAACAGCAAGAACAACAATAATAATGAGCATTATTATTATTATTATTATTATTATTATTATTAACTGTTTTATGGGCTGATTTCGCATATTAAGAACATTTTGACTTGCATAGTCCAAGGTGGAAGTTCAATTAAAGAACAACAACAATAACGAGTGCTATCAATAGTAATAATAATAATTATTGTAATTTTCATCATTATTTTATGTGCGAATTTGATTTATTAGGTCATTTTGGCTTCATTCACGTTTTGACTCGCATAGGACTGGTTGGAGTATAGCCTCATCAGGGTTTACTTCCAATACTTTTAACGCGGCATATGCTGGTGTATATCAGGCAGACGACACCACAGCTCGACGGCGAAATGCAGCAAGGCCAACACGACACTCGGCATCATCAAAGCCAGGGGCCCGTCGTGGGAGTGGATCAGATAACGAGCTGGGAAACCATGGCGTCACCCTGGCTGTGACACACGGACGCAGGGCGCCTCCCGCAAGGTCACACCACGTCCGTTTTGGGGGTATTTTGCCTTTACGTTCTCGCTAAGCTAATTGCTGCATTCTGTGCAAAATGTAAACTGATGGTGGAAAATGAAGAGACAAGCGACTGGAATTGAGAACAAGGGCGGGGGAGGAAAAAGAGAGAGAACGAAAGCAGGACATAAAGGAGAGGTGAAGGAGAGCGGGACTGATGTCCATTCATCACCGGCCTGTCTTTTATGTTTTGAAGTCGCCAGCTGACGACTAGGCCTCATCCAGAAAGCTCCGCATTGTCAGGTTTCCATGCCCTAATCTGACCGCCTTCCAGTCCAGAAAAGCATTTGGCAAGCATAGCAAATATGAACAATGGGGGGGGGGATTCGGGGGAGGAGTGGGGGTGGAAGGGGGGTTTGAGAGAAAGAAACAGAGGACGGGAGAGAGGGAGGGTGAGGGGAAGTGGATTTTAACTGACAAGCCATATGATCTAGACCGGTGGAGATGCCAGATCTTTAAATAGCAGCAGCAAATGCCCACCCTCAAACCCGTGTCTCAGCAACAAGCAGAAATTCAATCCAGCCCTACGTGTCAAAATGACACCCCTCTGGGTCTATTCTCAAGACCTCCCCCAGGCTTCCTGGGTCGGCTCTTTGTTTTTTACTCAAAGTGGTTGATCCCTTGAAAAGGATTATAGCATTAATCGGCAAAAAACACCTTTGGCATGATTATATTTCTGCAAAATTAACCGCTAATTTGCAGCTGGCTCGGATTCAGGTGTAGACGGTAATGCAGCAGAATCCATCAATGGTGGAAGCGGTGCCTGTCCAGAGCTGTACTCCAGTGTAATTGATAAAGTCATGCCTTGACAAAGTAGTACTGCAACTGCACCACTGTTGTCAGTGTCGTCATGGTCTTATCGGTAACGGTCTGGGTTGTTGCTGGGATTTGGGGGCCTCGCAAACTTTTTCCACACCCCAGATATGAGTGGGCCCATTTACTGTCGCATGTCCCATAACACTTCACAGTCAGCCTGAGCCGTCCCAAACGGCTCCCGGAGGGACCCCATGCCATCCAGCCCTAAGCTACACCGACCACGCAGTTAAATTAGTCGCAAGAAACTCCGAGCCGTTTCAAACACCGTCTCCGGTCCACGAGCAAACAGCCTCTTAAAACACACAATCCACACAGAACTGGAAAGTCAACAGAATGACAGCGACAACGACGTGTTAATCAGTCAACGGTATCCTGACCTCTACTTCGTGATGCTTGATGCCTGACCAGAAATACATACTTCTTTACATTCCATAGCTATCATATGTCCATATGGGTACATAAAGAAGTATGTGCTCCAGGAAGACAAGGTGTACAGCTCACGCACACGTTGCTGTGGTCCGGTGAGCGGCATTAGGAGAGCGATAAAAATGAATGAGGAGCTTTGCTGCAGAGTTAGCTGCAAGGCCAGCATTGCTGCCTTTTCTCTCTCACTATTAAAAGCGAAGCAGGTGGCTCGATGCATACTACAGCACCTTTGCGAGTCGAACGATAAAAGCAGCACCTTTTAGCTCCCAAGCCACTCTCCTGACCAAAGCAACTAGCCCGGCTAGAATATTTTAAACGTGACACAGTCCATACCATGCTGCCGCCGCTGATGCTGCCGGAGATCCCGGCCCGGACTTCAAGGAGCAGAGAACTGAATGGGTGCGGGGCAGGAGAACAAGCTGGGATATAAAGCAGGATGATTCGCTTGTCCTTGTACTCTTCAGTAAAGGTTACTGGCTAGTAAAAATAGGGCAAAATCTCTTCCCTTTCCGCCATTGTCTCCTTGACCTCGCTCTCACTTTAGGGTTCCCCCTTGTCTCCAAACTTGATTCTGTCGCCTGTGCCACACAGACGGCCGTATGCCGCTCTCGGGACGCGCTCACCTCCTTCCTCCTCGGTCTCTCTCCTCCTCCTCTCTGCGCCTGTCTCTCGGCACACCGTTCAAGGGTTTTGCAGCCTCCTCCCTGCAGCGTGTCACAGTGGGTGCTGATGTTTGAAAAAGCGAGCGATCCAAGTGGAACAGGAAGCCATTGTGAGCTGATTTAGGCTTTAGGCTAACATGCAGGCCAGAGGGTCACATGCGCCGGCTAATGTTTTGTTCAGCACTTCTGGAATTTAGCTCCGAATTGTTTCCTGCTTTTTTAGCCTTTTTACACCTTTTCCCTCTGCAGCGTGCCTTATCCAACGGGCATCTTTCGGGTGCGGTCGATCAGTGCCCATTTGACAAGTCTAATGAGTATTTAGCTCCACTCATCACATTCAACAAGTCAACTCTGGGACCCTAGTGTAGCACGATGCCCAGAGAGGCCCTGGATCAGCCCGGGTGGGAAGATAACGGTGGGCATGATACTCAACATCAGAAAATCAGCGATAAGATAAAATCTGCTCATACTATATGAGCACTAAAGGTGAGAGAGTGAGATTACAGAGGTGCCCATGGTGACGAAGGGTTTCAAAATGGAAAAAACACAGGGACCTGTCTTGGTTTAGTTGGGAGTACGATATCCTGTTGAGGGAATTATACAATAGGTCGCTGGGAGCAGGGAGGGGGGGGGAAGGAGCAGTGAGGGGGAGAATTCCTGCAGTTCCTACTGAAAAAGCCACGGTGCAGCTGATCTCTACAGCGGTAACCTGGAGCGGCAGCGCGCTGAGACGGCATTGCAGCACCCGTGCTTCCAGCAATCTGCAATCGTGCTTCTTGCGATCTCTATGGTCAGTAGCTTGCCTCTTGTTTTCCCTCCCTTTTTTTCTAAAGCGGTTTCCATTTTTTGGTAATCTCTGGCATCTCAAGCATCACCATCATCACCACCCACCTCCGGACTGAAATTCTGTCTCAAGAAGCTGCGTCCGGTCGATCCCCGAAACTTCCGGCCAACGGGGAGGGGAGGGGAGGGGAGGCAGGGGGGGGGGCGCAGGCAGGCAAACATTCTGAACGCACGTGAGGTATGAGGAAGATCAGGCACGACGAGGCGAGCGTCCACATCGGAAAACTGGGTATCGCACCACAGCAGGACGTGGAATGGGTCCAAGCCTGGCCACGCTGCGTGTGGAAGTTAACCGGCCCATCACCGTGGTGCCGGCAGGGGGTAGCGGAGGGGGCTGGGGGGAGGCAGTGTGGTGTGGCGTGCAGTGCTGCAGCAACAACATGCTCAGTCAGCCAGGGTTATGCAGCAGAAAGACAACGAGAGAGCGAGACAGAGAGCGAGAGAGAGAGAGGCACAGTGAATCCCCGGCGGACCGCCGGAACTTTCCCGTCCTGTTTCCACCTGCTCCCATTCCCCTTCCGTCCTCGCGGGGGGAAGCGCCACACACTCAAAAAAAAAAAAAAAAAAAAAACCACACACTAAAAAAAAAAAAAAAAAAAAAAACGGAAAGATTCCGCTGTTTAAGTTTGCATTGGATGCTGCAGTGCAAGGAGTGAGAGTTTCACTCTACATCACACAAGCGAGGCATGCAGTTACCGACCCGATCATGCCGCCCGTCCTTCGTACTGAGGGGGAGCGTGCATTACCTGTTCCCGCTACCATCCACGCGCGGCTCCCCTCGTCTCCTCCTTGCCGCTTCAGAGGGAGTAGCGGTGACCTACAGCATGTTCCAGCTGCAGCAGCCATCGTGCCCGTGCTGCATGTTCGATTCGCTGAATCAGCTCTCCTCCAGATGACGGCGGGGGTGAGCGAGGAGCCGCTCGCGCGAGCGTGTGTGTGTGTGTGTGTGTGTGCCTGCGTGTGTGTGTGAGTGAGGGGATGCGGGGTGGGGGGGGGTAGGTGCTGGGGAGATGCAGACTTGCAGCTTCTTCACCTTTAGGGAGGGAAGTTCCAGAGGAAATAAAGGAGATGGGAAATGGTGCACTCCAGGAAGAAAAAAAAATTAAAAATAAAAATGCAGGCAATGCAGCAGCCGGCAGCCGGCCTGCGTCGGTGAAGCTGCACGGAAAGTCGCACAAACTGCTGGAACTGACGGAGAGGCAAAGGGTCGAGCAGTAAAAAATAATAAAGAAAAAAAATGTGCAGTGCATTTTTCACTTTGCGAGCAAAATGACCCGATGACCTGTTAAAGGAGACGAACGACCCTGACCTGCGTGATCACTGACACACAGCTAATTCAAAACCCTTTTGCAGGCTGGGGGAGCCAGAGACGGAAAAAGAAGTTTGTTTGTTTTCTTCTCTTCATTTTTTTATTATTTTTTTTCCCATTTAATTTCTTTTTGTTTTATTTTCAGTTGAATAGTGGGGTGTAGAAAGCTGAGTTTCAAATCTACTCGATTAGGTAAAAAAAAAAAAAAAAAAATATCAAAATCAAATTTGATTCTTCCTGATTTTCCTGCCAATCCATGTTGCATCTCATCCTCTTCTCCCTGTTACCTGCTTTTGCGCGAAAGCTCTGTTTAGGGAAGATGTGCATTCCGGCCGGGGAGAGCAGCTTTGCCAGCAATGGAGGAGGCAGCGTGGGATTCCCGTGATGGAGACGGATACCTCTGGCGGCTCCTTCGCTCTACGAGGGTCTCGTGTGTTTGGGGAGGTCACCGCCGGAGGAGGGGGGGGCTCCCCGCACGGGGCCCCGGCGAGCGAGAGAGCGGACGACCTGGCGAGCCTGGGCTGACATGACCTGCAATCCCGGCACGGGAAGAGAGACCCCTCCAGCTTTATAGCCAGCTAAGCATCTGAAACACGCGTTAGTCGCTCGCAGAGTCTCTCTCCTCCCTTTCCATATTCGGTAAGCCATAGGAAAAAATAGTCCCCTCAGCTGTCGTCTGTGGGCTCGGAGAGTGTTAAGAGAGCCTCCATCCATCTTTCTGCTTATTGATTGCTCATCCTGCAATGCACCCGGGTTGCCTCGCTGCCATTCAGCAGGCTATTTATAGGCCAACCAAATAAAGTGGTCTCATGTTTTCACTTATTTCTTTTTCCTTTTCCTCCCCCTTCCTCGTTCTCTTTGTCCCTTTTTGCCTTCTTTTGCGCGACTACGCTGTACGTGCACGGGGAAGATCCCATGGCCACTTAACACTATACTTAGAAAGGCTGCGTACTAAAAAGAGAAAGGAATAGAGAATCTTGTAGCGCCGGCATAAACCTGTAGGGGATCTGAGCAATAAATATCCCTGTACCACAATAGAACACCGTGTAACCTGATTTCTTGACTGGTGAAATGTGAAACGGCCCATGAATAATAATATATCAAGTTTCTAGCTCATCCTGACATAAGCCACTTCAGAAATTTATATTCCATTCTAAAGACCACTGTTGTCCTCTTAGAAGTATATTCACCGTCTTGTAAGACCGACCAATCCTTCAGCTATTTTTTAAATATTCCAAATAGGTTTTCGTGACCCAGGATTCATGGCCTAAGAGCGTAGAAGAGCTTCCCAGGGGGTTTTGCCTATTTTGTCTTGCATCCTGGTGTCTCTCCTTCTCTTTTCTGGTATCATTGATGTTCATGTGAAGCAGTATCTTTTTTTTTTTTTTTTTTGATTACAAAGTCAAATTTGTGGAGAAGTTGCTGTTTTCCTCACCAGGAACTGTCCCTCAGAACCTCTCCCGCTATCTTTTCTCTTAGTCTCCCTTTCTCTGAATCAATAGTCCCAGCTGTGGTTTCATTGAAGCTTTGCTCCTTCCAGTGAGAACATGTGTTCCCTGGTGTAGCGGTGTTTCTGGAGGAGATTCACTGGTTTCAAATACACACTGGGGTGTGTTTTATTCTCACGGCTTTTGGAGTTTTATGCTGTGGAGACCTGGGAACCAATGGATTCAAAATGGACTCTTAAAATTTCCGCAGTAAAGAGTAAAGCCCACCAAAATGTCCTGCTTTTTCTTGGTCTGGTTCAGTTAGAGATGAAGTGTGTAAAAATAGAATGAGCAAAAATGTGTAAAAAATCTCATTCAAAAGAAAAGAGGCTTATTGTCTGACTTTGTGTCTCTGTAGTCCTGCCAAATGATGCTAGCAGTCAAGGTTTATGATAAGTCATAAACACGCCCAGTCATTGTTACTGTCACAGTGGAAACTTTTTAGGTTTTAGTCTCACAAAGGAAATGCAAATGCTTTTCAAAAATCATTCATTAGGCTAATAATATTTTGAAAATATATAATAATATAGGTAAATTTATGGATAACGCGATGATTGGCATTGTAAATCATTGTCTTCGACAACCAATGCCTTGTATTAAGATATAACCAAGAAAAACTGTTGTATTCCCCCCCCCCCTGCCACCATACATATTAGGGTATTTCATTCAATTATATTTGAAAAATCCACTTTTTGATGTATGGGCTGTGTGAAATGCCTGCCTCACATTAGTTTTCACTATAACATCAGGCATGAAATATTACTGAAGTGACCAAAACTATTTAGAACAAAGCAGACATTGTAAATGCATAACATCCATCCATCATCTAACCAGTTATCCAGGAAATCTGTCATGGGGGGCCTAGAGCCTATCCCAGACAGCATAGACCTCAAGGCGAGGGGATACCCTGGATGGGATGCCGGTCCATCAAACTGAACCAAACTCACAGAACACAGGGAGAATATGCAAACTCCACAAACACAAACATGCAGCTCAGAGGGAAATTCAAACCCTCAGCCCTGCAGATACGAGGCCACACCGCTACCCAGCGAGGAACCTTAACGCATGACATTAATAAAATGTAGGTATCAAATTAAGGTACCATGATTGTGTTGCATGTAAATTCATTGGACAGTATTATGATTGGCTCAGCAGATTAGGATGCTTTGCCTGTGATCAGAAGGTTGCCTGTTTGGACCCCAGGTTTGGCCTCCTGAGCTAGACCCTTAACCCCCAACTGGTCCAGGGACCGCCTGACCCAGCCTTGTATGTCCGTTAAATAAACAGAAAAGTTTTCATTGATTAGCTTAAGTTTTTGAAGAGGGGAAGCAGAGTTTATCGATTTCTACGTAATTTGTGGTAAGAACGACTGCTGGAGGGCCTTTTGATCCCAGTAATGGAAGGTGGTGTTTGTTGGACGAACTTTAACGGCAGTTTTATGCCTTAGGAGCATGAAAATCTTCCCAAAGGGATGTGCTTATCCAATTTGTACAGCTACGGAAACAGCCCCAGGAGAAGGAAGTGATGACAGATAGCAAAGTAAATAAGGTAAATACCAAATGTGGAAGACTACTGAGTAAAACTTTACTGGGAGTCATTCGATACCTTGTGCTGTCCTTTATTCTCTTGGCTTTCTCTTAGCACAACCTATAGCAATTTTAAATGATCTAGTATGCTCATATTTTTTCATTATTGTTTCAGTTGGAACCTGTAAAATGCTGCATTTCATAGAAAGTACAGTTTTTTCCTTAATGCATCATATAGATCATAACTGTATAAATGGTGCAGAAATTCTGTATTGCAGGAAATCAGCTGTTCATTGTTTTTTTTTTTCCAGAGGTACCATTAACTATTAACAAGAAACAACATATATATTTTTTGTTTTATTTGAGAACTTCAGTTTATTGTTTATTGTGAGTGGAGATACTAGCGACGGGGAATTGTAGTGTGATAGGAGGGTTGAGTTTTTTTCTTTTCTTTTGATGACCTTCGGAGGAACAGGGGTAGGTTTTTGGTAACAGCTAGGAAATGTTGAAGAATGTATAACTGAAAGCAACATGATGTAACCACTTTAAAAATTGCTCGCCTCTTATAAGACAGAATCCATGGACTGTGGAATCACGATGGCAGCGGGGGGTGGGGACTTCATTAAGAATGCAGTAATGAACTATCATATTATATTGGTGTTTTTTTTTTTAAAAAAAGAAAAAAGAAAAAAAAACAGTTGTGATTTTTAGGCGAGGCCAACAATATTGGTCACTCACTGCGTGTGGCGGTTTGAAATCTACCAATCAGCTGTGTTTTTAGACGGCCAATGGCAGCATCGGCTGAATCTCAACATGCACCTCGAGGTGAAAATGTGTGTCGTAAGGTGAGCAGGCGTCAACAATTTAGAAAAGAAAATGAAGAGGCAGAGGGTTATATGTGAGCTTTTCAGACACAGGGAGATGACTTTGTACCCCCCCCCCCCCCCCTTTGCCCCTCCCATTCAGATGTGTCCTGCAATCCATGACAGAGTCTCAGATGGATGGATTATACCTTCTCTCTCTCCCCTTTTTCTTAGGTAGCATCCGTTACCCATTCACAATGTGAAAAGTCTTACATTTGGAGTTAACCTGACTTGTAGCCTGTAACATGTATATTCTGGCAAGAGGGGGCAGCGTATTCATAAAGGGAGATGAAGCATCACCCCGAGGGCAGTGGTGAAGGACGTATCCGACTTGGAGGTTCTGTGCCCTAGCGTGGATTACCACTAGTCATGTTCTTTGCGCACTGCTTAGCCTGGAACGACTGAGTTCTGTGTGAGAGCATCGCTGGCATCCCAGAGGAGGATAAACATGGATTTACGGCCTGTTTTAGCAGAAAGACTGAACGCAGGTAAAGAAGGAGAAGAGGTGAAGGCTCCTTTGCTGAGGAATGACGAATGTGTCTGGCAGAGAATGTGAGTGAACTTACCTCCTCTCTACAGTTATACTCTATTCATGACATCTTCAATTTCGACACTCCACCCATGGCTGATGTTAGTATTTTTCATTCATTTATCCATGAGACTACTTTAAATTGGCACTCTAATGAGGTTATAAGTTTGTTGGTAATAATGCATTTTATCACTTTTTCCCAGAGTTCTTCAATGCATCTTCATTTCAAGTCAAGCTCCACTACAATCATTCCTACAGTCACATGAAAATAGAAGTGAATTGAAGCACTAATTTTTAAAACTGTATTGGTTGTTTATAGGGTATTGTGATATGGTGATTCCAGGTTTTTTTTTAAATGTGGGGCATAAGAGGGGCCATAATTCATACTCCGGTGCCAGCCTTATCGTTAGCCAATCGTATGTTTCAAATTGCTGACTGACAGGGGAGGGGGCCAATCCTTTCAGCTGGGGCCAGTGCCCCTGTGACCCTGCCCCTGTATACGCCCCTGTATGGCAAGCGAATAATATAATATTTGCACATATTATTACAATTTTAGAATATGTCCTAGAGGGCATGTGGTTTGTTAGGAGACTGGGATTAGAGTCTTGCCATGAATCTGAGACTATAAATATGGCTGATCCGCGCAGGTCCGTCCCCCTTAAATGGCAGTGCACCTGAGCCCCACCTCTGCCCTTGCGGGTGGGGGTCCCACAAGATGCTCCCGCGTAGCTATTTCAGGCTGAAAATGGCCGGGCCACATGGGTGGCGTGACTACCTGGCCATCCCTGGCAAACGCCATCCCCGCTTCCGGTGCCGGAACGTGAGCGGTTCCAGTGTGGAGCAGCAGAGATGGGAATCGGCGCCTCAAACAGCTGCAGCCTGGGCATCCTCCCCCAGCAGAGTGGCTCGCTCCTTTCCTTCCTAGTGAGAGTTAATCCAGATCAACAGCTGGATTGGTTTAGCTGCTGCAGTTTTGTGGGCAGTGAGCAGGTCTGTGGTAGTGAAGTGGGAGGAAAGTCATCAGACATGGCTCAGGGTTTGCAGTAATTCATACGGAGGGGCCAACCTTATCATTAGCCAGTGATGTCTTTTGAATCAATGAGCAACAGGGGAAGGGACACTCCAGGGACCAATCAGCTTTCAGCTGAGGTCAGTGCCCCCGTGGCCCCGCCCCTGGTATACACCCCATTATCGATCAGTCTACATACCTACCCTCACCTATTGTTGGTAATAATGCAGCTCAACAGATAATGCATGGCAATGACAGCTCAACAGAACAAAAGGCCAACGTGAGGTTTCTCCGCAGGATTGCCCGACTGACTCTCCATGACAGGGTGTGAAGTTAGGGGATCCAGAAGGACCTCAAAATAAAGCCTGCTCCTTCAGATCAAGAGGAGGCAGGTGAGGTGGTTCGGGCATCTTATAAGGATCCACCTGCTCGACTCGCGAGGATACTATTCTGAGCACATCCCGCAGGGCGGAGGCAGGTCCAGGACGCTGCTGAAGGAATTATATTGCTCGTGTCTCCTGGCTGACTTGGGAATAACTAGGGAACCTTTGGAATGAGCCAGAGTATGTAGAAAAAGAGGTCTGGTCTCACCTGCATGGCGTCCTGCCACTGCGATCCTCATATATACACACTTTGTAATATTGGTATATTTTTTTTTGGGGGGAGGGGGGCAACTGTCTTTTGCTTATATATCGCCTATGTAATATAAAAGTTAGGGTAATGAAAATAGTAAAA